AAATGGTGCGAAATTTCATGTTCCTAGCTGCATAAATGGAGGAGTTATGATAAAAGACCTCATATCTGAACAATCAGTTGTATGGGGGCTGCAGGTTATAGTGACCCGATCTTTGTTATTTTCGCTGTAAGTCTTCTGTTGATAATGAGTGAAAACAGCGCGAAATTTCATGGTCCTAGCTACATAAATGGATGAATTATAACGAAAAATCTCATATCTGAACAATCAGTTGTATGGGAGCTATAGGTTATAGTTACCCGATCTTTTTAATTTTCACTGTAAGTTTTCTGTTGATAATTATTGAAAACAGTGCGGAATTTCATGTTCCTAGCTATATAAATGGAGGAGTTATAACGCAAAATTTTATATCTGAACAATCAGTTGTATGGGAGCTATAGGTTATAGTGACCCGATCTTTGTAATTTTCACTGTAAGTATTCTGTTGATAATGGGTGCAAGTATTGCAAAATTTCATGTTCGTAGCTGCATAAATGGAGAAGTTATAATGAAAAATCTCATATCTGAACAATCAGTTGTATGGGAGCTATATGTTATAGTGGTCCGATTCTTCCGGTTCCGACAAATGATTAATACATTATAAAAATACACCCACCTACCAAATTTGATCCGGATATCTCGAAAACTGAGAGACTAGATTGCATACAAACAGACAGACAGACAGACGGACAGACGGACATGGCTAAATCAACTCAGCTCGACGTTCTGATCATATAAGTATACATTTTCATGGGTCTATCTCTTTTTGTTCTGGTACTTACAAACATCGGACCAAAGTTATAATACCATTTCATGCTCATGAAAGGTATAAATGTGCTGCAAGAGCTCGCATAACAAAGAAAAGTTTGCGCAAACTGTCGGCACTAAACAAAATCAAGAGAATAAAAATATGGCAAAAAGTGAATTGTGGCAAATGTGGTACCTACGAACAAAGTAGAGGTTACATATGTATGTATGCAATCGTAATTCTTTGCAAGTAACCTCTGCTTCGCTCTTAGGTACCACATTTGCCACAATTCACTTTTTTCCATATTTTTATTCTCTTGCTTTTGTTTAGCGCCGACAGTTTGCGCAAACTTTTCTTTGTTATGCGAGCTCTTACAGCATATTTTTAATTCACTTATACATACCCTATACATATTAAAAAGACAGTGTTGATTACAAAACTCATACTATTTCGGTTACATAAGAAAATGTGTATGCCTATACAGCTCTCTGGACACTGTCGCATTGAAGAAATGTCTTTGGAGGCAAAACTCAGAGGAACTTTGTCTCAATTCATTAATCTACTAAACTCTATTTAATACATATGTAAGCAAGTCCACGCACTTACTCAGCTATTTGCACATCGTCTAAGCTAGTCTAATCTAACCCATTCTGACCTGGTCTGAACAGACCTCGCCTGTCCTAACTTAATTGAGCATAACATAACCTAAGACTTTGAAATTCGACCTCCCAGCCTCAGGCCGAGTTTCGATTCTCCACTTGGCTTGGCATTCCTTATATCACTCTCCCTCGTCTTACAGCTCTTGATTTCAGCCTTTTAGGTCTCCACATTACCATCCTTATTCTCACCCTTGTACCTTTGAAAACTGTCGCATATCTTGCTTCCGAAAGTTTTTCAGATCCACCCTTTTTCAAATGCCCTGATCTTAGCCTTATCCTTCACCAGATTATTGTTGCTATTTTTATGGACCTGGGCTTTTTTAACCTTGGAAGCTCTTTGAACAGACAATTGATTTAATAAGTAGAAATCTCTAGAAAACATAAAGTAAGTATCTAATGCGTAGCGGGCTCTCTAGAATACAGGGAGTTTTGTAGACAAAAAATACCTCATTTAGTATAATGAAAACAGATGGATCAAAACTTGCTGATGGGAAAACCAGGCTGTTATATTTCAGCTGAACTTTAAGAAAAAAACTATGTTATTAAAGGGGCTATCACACAGCTAAACAACCTTAGCTGAATTGGAATCGAGAATAAATTTTTGCTAGGCTCTATATAAGAACAGGAGACATTAAAAGTTCAGTTAGCACAAGAGTATATGTATTTTCAGGACGGAAGCGAGCTAAGCGGCTTATCCGGCCATCACAAGTGACATCTAACAAACTCCGTAATTTAGGCAGTGCAGAACTTCGTACTCTCAGTTGGTATATCACGGAGCAGTGGTCCTTTAACTACCATAGCATTGAATGAGTAATTCGATATACTCTCGCTTTCGTGAGCTGGATGAAATTTTGAATAAAAAGCTCGTGCAAATGCTACGAGTGAAATCCCATACACCATAGACTATGTCAGAGGTCCCTGGACCCAATGATATCGCAAGTAAAATACATAAAATTCTGATGCCAGACGCGATAGAAGGACTGTACTTTTAGAGCCGACGGAGTGCGTTTTTCTTGTTGGCTAGGGGAAAAGAAACATCTGCTTTGTACGCTTTGAAAAATGTCATCCATTATACCCGAAACTTACAAGAAAACATCGCCAATAGAACTTCGCCTTAGACGTGACGATGATGTCAGATAAATTTCGTCTAAAAATTCGTTATAAATGGTCATTAGGACACATCTGATGGTGTAGGTGTTAGTTGATGTTTAAATACAATTTACTGGCTTGGTTCCACTACAAATTCCACCTCAGCAAAAATATTCCGCTTTTGAGCTGCTTAACTGTCGCAGACGAGAGCTTCGGATGGCTAGCAGAAGAGCTTTGGCAGAGAATTAGAAGTCTTGTGTCTAACCTTCTATAAACTCTACACCGGCACAGGTTCTTCGGGTCAGTTAGAACAAAAAGAGTGTACTACAAGGTCAGATATCTTCATCACAAGGCTTTCTTTACTATGCAATTCAAATGTTAGAAAAAGGATGCGAAATATTGAATGTCTTTAAGTGCTAAGGCAAAGTCTTATTTTTTTGCAATCGGACCTAAGTCAGAAATTTTTACCCAAAAGTAACCGGCCTTCGTCCAGCGTTCATGCTATAGCAGTGCAACAGTGTTTTGTTTAACCACTTTTTTGCAGAATGGAAAATTTGTGTTTCAAAGTTGAATTTTCGGTAAAACTCGAAGGTATTAGTGGTAAGATTACTAAATTACTAAACAAAGTTTACATACAACAGTCGCCAAGCGGTACGCACGTTTTAAAGTGGATAAAGCGATTCAAAGAGTGCGGGGAAGAGTTAGAAGATGATCAGCGCTCAGGAAGACCGTCAACCTCAACCAATGAAGACATGTGCTCTTAAGTTAAAGAGATGTTAGACGAGGATCGGCGAATTTCTATAACAGAAATAGCCACAAAATTAAAGGTATCTTATGGATCAGTTCATAAGATTTTAAAGGATCGTGCCGGCCTATATATTTTACGGGAAATCCGCAGGAAAATCTTATCCAACCTATAGTCCATATTTGGCCCCACCGGACTGTTTCTTATTCCCTAAATTAAAACAGGACATTAAAGGTGTAAGATTGAACTCAATAAATGAGGCCGTTTTGAGGTGGTTCAGTTTGAAGTATTTTGATTTTTATTGGGGTGGTCTGGAGAGGTGGCAACACCGGATGCAAAAGTGTATTGAAGCAGAACGTCCATATGTTGAAAACTAAAATTTTGTACCTTTATATATTGTGTTTACTTTGATCAGTCCGGTTACTTTTTGATACGCCGTTCGAATGTTATTGAAATTTAGATAATTTTGGTTAGCTCATTACTTAGTTAAACTTTGGCTTTTTATCTTAAACTGCTTAGGGGAATAACTTATGTAAAAAAAGCGTTTGATTGTGAACAGGATTTCGAGCTGGAGTGAATAGCCAGGTTTAGAGATGAAGTGGATTTAGCGTTTCATTTTATTTAGTCAAAAATATATGTCGTTTGAGAAGTTCATACAATTTGTCTTATACTGCCCGAATTCGATTTCATGTTGCATACTTTTAGGTACATTTTTAAAATCTTTTTAAATGCACGGTTTCTACAAAAAAGCCTCTTCATATGAAAAATGTCCGTCCACTCCCTAAGACATACTCTCTCAACTGCAATTAAGAATCACAACTATGTACCTACTTTTGCACAAATTTTATACAACCACTTTAATTTACTTCAAGTTTCGTTCGCTCATGTTAACGCCTTCGTTGCATTCGCGGGGGCGTTTCAAATATACTACCACCAAATGCACCGCTGACAGTTGCAGCTTTGGTCATTTACACATTTATTACGGTAATTTATGCGCTTAGGAAATGGAATTCTGTTGGCTTTTTTCCATTGCGCGTGCCTTTGGGAGCTTTTCATATACTAAGAGTAGTAACGAGTACGCGTGAAATGAAGGCAAAAAAGAAGTAATATAAATGGTGAAATTATGCGCACAAGATGTTAGTAGTTGATGGTACTCGTGGCAGATGGCAAGCAAGGAAATGAGCAGTTGTTATGCGTGCAGATGGAAGGACTTAAGTAAATATGAACATACTTAGATTTAAGGCGTTGTTTAGAATGAAAAAAGGAAGCTTACGAAGGCCTGAGAGGTTCTGTTCAAAACTGTTCAAATTAGACTACTTTTCGGAAAATGAAAGCAGCATTTTTTTGAACAGAAAAATTTCTCAAAAATATCTCTTATCACTACACTGTCAAAATGTTTATGAAAAATAGTTAAGAGTTACAGGTTTTTGATCTCGGTATATTTTCGTATACATATCGAGCCGTACCGCGAAAAAAAAATAAGCGACATAATTTTCAAAAATTTTTTCCAGAGCATCCATGTAGATGCATTCCTACATCAAAATTTCAAAAATAAATGTCGCTTACATCGGCGTAGCCGAAATGAAATTTAAGGGGGGCTCAAAACTATGAAGCTAGCATTTCAGGGTACTATTTTTTATGTATATAGGTAAAAACTCTAAAGTTAGGGGGCTCGAACAATCACTTAGTTTAAAGTAAACGGCATTGAAAAGTTATATATTGAAATAAATAAAATTTAAGATTTAATGCGTGCATCACTTACCTTCCTAGATTTTCACTTGCTTTTTGATATAGTTGAACATCGTTATTTCAGTTGTTGTTGTTAATATCTAGTAAATAAGTTCTTACATTTGTATAGTTGGTATATAAAATCACTTTACTGGCTGTTCAGTTGCTCGCACTGTATTCTCAAGCGTTACACTCTACTTTTGCTGGCTTTCTGCTGCTCTTTTCTGTTTGCTGTTGCGCTGCGCTATGTTGCCAATTTTCGCGTACTCGCTCTATATACGTATAGTAGGCGTTCGTTGTTGTTATTGAAGCGTTGTTTTTGCTCTTCAAAAACTATGATTGCCGTGCTTTTTCGCTGCTGCCAATTTTATTTACGCTCATTCATTCGCTCGAACACTTTGCTATGTTGCCAAATTTCACTTGACTTCTGTTTTTGACGTATTTGAACTTAAGGAACGCACTTTTTAAACTAATTTTCTTTACTTTTAAATGAATTTGTAAATTTGAAAGTTCAAGCTGTGTAATTTGCACACTACTTAGTTGGGGAGTTATGCAAATATTTGAAATTATTTTATGATGAATTTTTAAAAGTTACACATCGACTGTTTATTTTGTATGCTCTCTCGTTTACCTGTACTTTAAGGGTCTGCTCTTCACTGATATTTTTAATTCATATGTTTTTTTTTATTAAAAGTTTAAATTTGGCCTTTTTTATGCTGCTAATGTTAACCGATTTGTTCGCGCCTTCATTCACGAGAGCGCGTGTGCGTGGGTAAACAGTCGTGGCGTGGTGCCTGCTTTGCTGCTCTATTCGTCGTCTTTCGAAGTCGTTGGAAGTACGCTGGTTTTACAAACAAATTTTTCGCTTTCGTATTTGAAAAAGTCTAAAATCTTGTTACTCAACACTTTTGGTGTTCAATTAACATATATATAAGTTATAGTTTTCTTTTTATATTTATAACCTTTAGTATATCTGTATACTATATATATATATATATATATATATGTATTGTATATATAAAATCAGTTCCGCTTTTATTCCTTTAAAATCCTAGACATCCATACAATGATTTTCCCTCTTTTCTATATATATATATATATTATATATATTTGTGATGTTATTTGTTTTTTTTCCTTTTTGTTTGTTTTTCTAGAAAACTTGTACACCTATTTTACGTGACATTCAACGCTTTCGTTGCGTACTTTGCTTTCAATAAATTCTTTAATGCTCAACTATTCGAATGTACTGTATGTAGTATATTTTTAGGCGCTATGAAAAGTACAAACATACACAAACACGGAAAAAATCGTTACAAATTTTATTTTGAGTTAATTATTTTGCTATTTAATTTAAGTATTTTTACGTAATAATACTGCAAACTTTGTGTATTTGGTCAGCCCTCGTGTTTAGCTTGCGCTGAAGAAGTGCAACACTGCGTTGTAGTCGCTTTCGTAGTGCGCTCGCAGAGTGAAGCACAAGTTCGGCTCTTTTTTTTTTTTTGGATAGTAGAAATAGTAGTAGTAATTGGTATGTAAATGTTTCTTATTGTTATTGTTGTAATGATACCGTACTAAATTGCTTTTCTTTTACGTTGATAATGACTTACGAATTTCTTACGCCCACTGCTTAAAATCAGAAAAAATCTACCGCAAAGAACTGTACTCTTCCGTTTGCGCTTTCTCGCGCTCTCTTGCCACACTACTGCTCGCAAACTAAAATTTTGTGCTCTTTTTTACTTTTTCTTTAGAGTTAAATCACTTTGAATTCACAACTAGGAATCTCTGTCGCTATTTTTCGCTTTTCAAAATAGTTAGTTTTTTTCTTTTTAATGCTTTATTCTCTCTTTATCGCTCGCATGCACTTTTTCACTTTTCTTTTGTAGCGCTTGTGCTCTTAGTTTTTTACACTCCCTTCGCTTTGGCGTTTGGCTGCTTCGAAATCATATATGAACAACCGAAGATATTTGACTTCTAGAAAATCATTGGAAAATATATTCAAATACTTAACTATCGATATACGAAAATATATCGATTTGTAATGCTCTTTTTTTTAGGAAAGTATGTGTGCAAAAATGTTCACAACTTGTTCGTTTGCTTTATATGATTGTTTTGATATTCGGAGATATATCACTTCCGCTGGATGAATGATTTTTCTCACATTCGTTCGCTATCTCTTTCTATACATATATCTCTCTCTGTTCGTTGCTTTTTCAGTGGATCGTGCACTCAATACACAAGCAGCTGAAATTGAGAGAGTGAAAAATTGTGTGAGGAGAGAAGTTGAGATGTGATACTTTCAAAAAGTAAATTTAAAAAAAACCTTTGTTGCATGAGATATTCATCTATGCGAAGCATAAAAAAAAAATAAAATACGTAAAAAAATTAATAAAACTGTTACAATGCAAGTGGCGAAAATTAAGGTGAATATTTTACTAAATACCCAGAAAGATGAAATTCGTCGAAATAAGGAAAACAATATTCTCCACAGCAATTTTTAGAATTGTATTTCGAAAATATTTTTAATTTTCTTTAGGAAAAATGTGGCCCATAATTTCAAAAAGGCTACTATGAAAAATCGGATAAAAAATCTGACAATGAATGTCGTTGTCGGAACATTTTTTAATGTTTTTGTAGAAGAGGAGGTTACTTATACTTAAAAAAAGAAAATTATTAAAAAAAAATGATGGAAATGCAAAAAAAAAACTCTGCAAATAAGTTTGTTTTTTACAAAATTTTAAAAATTTTATAAATATTTTCTTGCGAAGCGTAGAAGGCTTCGAAAGAAATAACAAATTTTCACCCCGACAATTTATAGCAAAATATTTGGCAAGTACTTATTTAAGTAAAATAAATGAATAAGTAAAGAATAAAAATTCGTCTTGCAAAATATTTTTAAAAAAAGGCATATTTTGAATAAAAAAGGTGAAGAGGTAATATATAGAAATTCATTTATGGAAGTAAATGAATAATTCTTGCAAATTAATTTGTTCTCGAATAAAAAAAATTTGTGAAAATTAATAGTAAGTAGAATAATAGTTTGAGTAGAAATTAAAATAAAAATATATATAACTATTTTTTTCATAAATAAGTCATAAATCGAATGAAATAAATATTTTACCGAATAATAAGGCGAAGAGACGAAAATCATATGGTAAATATTTCTACTAAAGTAAAGTTATAGAAATTTATAGTCATATGTATATACATAAATATTTTAAAATTTGTTTACATACACATAAGTTTAATAAAATAGATCGAAAATTTTTTATTATGGAATAGTAAATCTTCGAAACGACGAAAAATGTCGTACATTCAAAAACAGTGCAATTTATTCTAAATTATTTATTGCCAAAAAAATTATATTTCAATATATTCAGTTAAGAAAAATTCGTCGATTTGAAGTAAAAAAAAATTAAGGAACGTAATATTGTCGCTCTAAAATTTTTCAGTAATTTTTTGTAATATCTAAATGTAAAAAAAATGAGGAAACTAATAGGCGAGTACTAAGTGAGCGCATTCAACGAAAGGAAGAATCATATAAAATTAAAAAAAGACGTTCATGTTCCTAAAAATTTTAAACCATAAAATTGCAGTTTTAGAATTTTGTAAAAGTCGAATATGAAAACAGATTTATCAGAGAAATGAACAGTTCACAATGGAGTTTAGTGTTTTATAAAAAATTTTTTTAGAAAGCCCGAATGATAAATTCTACGAATTCATCCTTTAGGAAGTTACAAGCAATAATTAAAAACAAAAATAAAAATTCGTCGAAAGGACGAAAAATTATTGAAACGGTGAAAACCGAACAAAAAAATAGTGTTATTGAGCTTTGTACCATGATTTTATTTTATAGAAAAAAAGGAAAAAGCAAAAAAGTCTAAGTAGTAGAAGTTATAGTAGCAGGTGGTCACCGCATCTCCTCATCAGGCTTCTTTTTCTACACTTCAGCGGGGATCGAGTCCGCTGGTTTTAGGACTTAGGACTTAGAAAAATAAGTAAACTCATCGAAAGGACGAACACTCAAACGAAAGCATTCACCTAAAATGTGAATTAGTTAAACAAGTTGATGTTGGCTGGCAAAGAAATTCGTTAGCAGAAATTTTGAAAAATCAACGGATTCGTCGAAAGGATGAATATTTAACTTAATTCATCTAAAGTCAAACTAATTACATAAAAATATTCTTCTGAACGCAAAATAATACTGAAGATGGTACAACGCCGAAAGCGGTTTGTCTTCAAACCAAAACTTGGCAAAGGATACCGGAAATTCGTTCCAAAATACATCATGCACCCACCCGGGAACAACAACGAAAAACAAAATAAATTCATCTAAACGCTAATTAGCAAAAAATTTTGAAAAATTTATGGATTTCTCGAAAAGACTACTCTTTAATTCATCTAAAAGGTTCATATCTGAAACTTGTATGTTGAAAAAATTTTACTGTGAAATTGCTTAAATCAAAATGAACTGAAAGTTTGAATAATTTAAGAATTGATGCATATATTCATCTAAAGGACGAACAATAAAAATAAATGTATAACAATTTTAGTATAAAAAAATTTTAATAGCAGAACCCTTTATAAACAAAGGGCCTGTATGAAAAATAATGTATTCATCGAAAGGATTTTGTTGAAAAAAAATTTATTAGCAAAAAAGTAAGTGGAAAATATGTAAATCAAAAGCAACGAAATTCTACATGTTTGCGTTTATCGAAAACTCGATTAACATAAAAATTTACAAAGTAAGTTTTTACTTAAAAAATAGTTAGATATTTGTGAATGGGAGCTTAAAATATATAGGTAGACCTGCTAAGGAGCTTTTAAATTTATTTTTAATAAAAAAAAAATATATAATTTAATTCCTATTTCTAAGGCATTATATTATTAAAATCCATCCTTCCTTTGAATCATTTAAATATGCACTTGCACTTAAGTACATACTTACATATGTACGCGTATATGCTTGAGTACATAACATAAGGCCACACCCCACACCCACACATTTTTAACAACAAATTTTTCAAAGCACTCACCCTTCAAAAGCTGGTTTACATATGCACGTACTAAGTATGTATGTATGCGTGTATAAGCTGCTGCACCGACTGTTCGAGGACGAAAAATGTTTGTTGGAATTCCCAAATGAACTTAGGCTTCACGTGAATTACAGCTGATTGCTGAAATGCTTGAATGCTTTCGTTAAAGCGCAACAAATATCTTCAACTAGTGGAAATTTTTCAAAACGAAATCGAAGTGTATTGATATCTCAAATGTTTTTAAAATTCTAGAAAAAGTGAATTATCTGCGCTCAAAAGATTTTTTTTTTTTTGAAGCCGCTTTCAATGAATGAATCAAAGAAATTCCAACAGTAATATGTATGCCGCTACGCCCAACTGCTGGTGTATCCTCGCTTCTTTTTTTTTTTGCTTGCTCCTCCTGAGCTCCCACTTTCCACCGCCGGCTGCTTGGCTTGGCAGTTTTTCGCTTTTTCGCAAAACAAAAAATTTTGCTTGCAGTGGCAATTTCTTTTACGATTTATTTACTTTGCTGCTGCTTTTTCCTGTTGTTGTTCTTGTCTGTGTTGTTCTACGAAACAAGGAGAAATCATATAGCGACGCAAATTATAAATTATATGAGTAGAATAATACAAAACGCGCTTAAAAAAGAGCCGCGTTTGCTTTTGGATACGTCGAAGACCGCACTCGTACTCGTACTGATGGTATAGAATATGCCAACGACCAGCTGCCACAACATCGAATTTGTTGAGGACCCGAAAAAGGCGAAGGTGCCACGAGTGAAAAAGCGTACGAGCGAGCAAAGGATACGTATGATTCGTGTCGAATTGCATAGCCTGGCCGCACTATGTTGCAGTCGAAGTCGACGTCAGCGAAGCCGACTTTTGCCTGGGCACCCGCTTTTCTCTGCGATGC